TAAGATATATGAATCCCGAAGGTTACTTACTAGGCCCATACGGAGAATAAATTCTCACGAGAGCGTCACTTTCACCCCCACTTAAAAACGGGTTTGGAGCTCGAGTTTAGAGCCTTAGAAGATGAAAAACAAGTTTGAAAGGCTGAAACCATTGAAAGAAATCGTGAGTACAACTATTTATTTGAAAAAAATAATAAAAAATAAGTAACAAGGATCAAAAATTATCTTAAAATTTAAACTTACCATTTTTATTAAAAAGACAACTGGAAATTACTTTAGCCTGGCTCACTTACATGTCCCCAGCGGAGTCACCAAGCTGTCATAACCGTCTTTCAGTTGGGCCCAGAATTGGGCTTCGACTTGGATTAAATTATTAGGAGTCGCCACCGATCACTTTAAAAACAGTTAGGTGGATCGAACACCATTTTACTTGATCTACGTCTTACCAAAGATATGTCGAATTTGGGAGTCGGTTACAGTCAAGGAAAGGTTAGAACCCTTGAACTACCCTTTCGGTACTACGTAATTTTCAGTTGTCTTAAATTAAGAAAGTTGTAATTTAAATTAAAGGGTAAAACAATTATCCAAATTATTTACCTTTAATAAAGTTACGAAACTATCTTTAAAAGATCAAAACAAGATGTTAGAAAAGTAAAATAAATAAAAAGTCTATGATAATAATAATGATAATAATAAAGAGGAAATAAAAAAATAAAAAAGAAATATATATGTACAAAAAATTAAAAAATTTAAAAAAACTAAAACAAAATAAATAAATAAAACAAATAAGAATAAACATAAAAAATAAAAACAAATACAAATAATGTTAATAATAATAATAATAATAGTTATAACAAAAAAATAAATAAAATACAAATAAATATATGTAAAAAATTGAAAAAGGTGAAAAGTTACACCATTACTTCACCGAAAGTGAGGAGGAAAATTTTGATTTAGAGGACAAAAAGGGCCCCCTAGGAGACTAACATGAGTAGTGTATATATATATAAAATAGGATATGATATTTTATAGAAAAAACATATAAATAAATAGTTAAAAAACACTAAAAAAATATAGATATATATAATGGTACTTTAAAAAGGAAAACAAATAATGAAAAAAAAGTAATATATATATATATATATATATAAATAAGTAGAATAAAAATAGATAAATAAATAGAATATGTATAAATAAAATAAAAATAATAAAATAATATATATATATATACACACACAAAATAATGATATAAATAAAAAATATATACGTATAATATAATAAAATATTAAAAATTAATAATAATAAAAAATGGAAAACAAAAAAATAATAACAAAGAAAATAAATAAAAATAATATATATAAATACTAACGAAAAATGAAATAAAAAAATAAAATATAATATTCAAATAGATAAAAATAAGAAATTAAAAAAAATTAAACTGTCAAGGGATTAAATTGAAAGGAAAGCAGGATCGGGGGTCAAATTTAAATGAAATTTGGGATGAAATTCGATGAAAAGGGGGTTAAATCAAAGGTTTAAAAACGAAAGGGGCCAAATGGATGATTTACCCATTGCTGCGTGAAAACACGCGGGTTACGCGTGTACGGGTCGGGTCGTGGTCCATTCGGGTTAGTATAAAGCCTAACAATTAAAACAAACCTTCATTTGTTTCATTTTCACCAAACATTAAACCCTTTCCCCCTTTCATTTTCTCTCCTCGGTTCATCAGCCAGGAAGAACAACCACCGCTATTTCCAGATTCCGGCCTCGCCCCCGCCGTTGATCGGCGTCGACCGTCATTCATCGACGGTTAAACATAAAGAGGTTTGCTTTTTCCGAAAGCTTTCGACCCCCTGGTTTCAAAAATAAGCTTTTTTTTTTTGCAAAGTGGCCTTAGGGGAGGCTAGATATGGGTTTTAAAACCTCAAAACCTTCCCCGAAGTTCATCAGCGAAAACCATTTTCTTATGTTTTTTTCGAATCAAAGCAAAGCAAAACGAGCATGCAAGTGAAGATGAAGCGAACAAGGTAAAAAATACATTTTTATTCGATATTTCCTTTCGAAATATTACAAAATGCGTCAGTTTATCTCTAGTGATTGCTTGTAATTCTCGTGTAAACTCGAAGTAATATTGTGTGTTTTAAAACGCGATTTACATCTTATTTATAGCATAGGAAAATCTATTTTTAGAGTCCTACATAAACTAAATCCCTGCTTGGTTTTTGGTTTGATGCCTTCCTTGCTCCAGAGGGTTCGGGTTGTTGGAGGCGAGAGACATGCAGCGCCGTGAAATGCGGCCGAGGGAGGCATGAGGGCTCCTCGAACAAGGTCTTGCGACGTTGTCTGGAATAGAAGATGGGGTTAGGGTTACAAAACCCTAACTAGTTCGGGTTGGTTCGTGAGTCCTGAACCCAGGTTTCCGTCACATGTGTAGCGGGGCCTCTGAATTATTTTGTTGGGTGCGTAACTTGGGCTACTGTCACCCTTTGTAAAAACGCTAGGCCTGGGCCTACAAAACAAATGAAATAAGTAATAAATATATATATATTTATAATTAATATAATATATGTATATAAACAATATATGTGACACATAGGACGAAATGATGTTTCTATAATATTTTTTATAAAAGACCTTCAAATTAGGTAAACAATTATCCAAAAATCCATGTTAAAATTTTTTATTAAAGAAAAAACAATATATTAATGAATGGATGTAAAAATTAAGATGATTGATCAAGTCCATGCAATAACTGAATCTTTATTTTCAATTACATTAATTATTTTGCATACAGGATACTCAAGCTATTTTTTCTTAAATAAAAATTAGTGAAAAAAAATAAAATTTGCATTGAAAAAGCTTGAAAATGACCTCCCAATTGTATTTAAAAAAAACAATAGGAAAAAAGGAGGAGCATATGGCTTACTTAAGGGCATGAAAATCCTCACTGTCCCCTCAATAATAGCAATCCAAAGTATGGTGCACCGACAACTCTTCCCCATGTGAAAGGGGTTTACAGACAAAATTTTGTTTTACAATACCTCATTAATATACGAACAATGGATAGATATACGGGTGAGAGTAACCGTCTTTTTGAAAATATAAAATTATTATATATTTTAAATTTTTTTATATGTGTTTTCTATTAAAATTATATTTTCGATTCTTTTAGAATTTTATAAATTTATCATTTCTTAAAATATTAAAAGTTCATACCCTTAACATAAAATTATGCATCTGTAACTAATTCCACAAGGATACTAAACAATAATGTATGCAAAATAATTAACGTCATTGAAAATACAAGATTCAACTATTCATAGACTTGGTCAATATATTATTTTTCTTTACATCAATCCGTCAATATATTATTATTGCACGAATTAATTTATCTAAGTGATTAAAAGAATTATTATTGTTTCTAAATGTTATGGGTTCGAGCACCAGCAACTGTAAGAGTGATTGTGTGTTCATTATCAAATGATTGAGAATATTTATAACAATTATTAATTTGTAATTACCTTAGCATAATAAAAAAAATTAATATATTATTTCCATTTTTGATAATTATTTAGTAATTTTAATACCTCATAAATAATAATATATGTCTTCATAAAAATAACCCAAAAAAAGAAAACACATGGCAACATCCTAAATTCATTCATAGAGTTTTCCTATCCTATTATCAACCTATCAAATACTAATTCTTTAAAAATATTAAAATTTTAATCTAAATTACTTTTTATAAATATTATATTTAAATAACATTTCATTTGAAATTAAAAAAACCATCATATATCCAATTTAGATTAAGCTTATACAATTAGATACATAAACAAGATATATTTTGAATACTATAGTGTAGCCGTATAAAAATCTAATTACCATCCTAATAATTAACAATTTCACTCATGTAATTATAATAAATTTCAATTCCCTAGACATTTTTAACTAGTAAAGTATAATTATATTATAATTATCTATGCCATATTTAGTAGCACACGTTATAATCACATAATTACACAAATTTAAATTTTAAAATAATACTTTTACAAAATTTAAAATATAATTATTCAGATAATACACTAATTCCCGCCTAATTTATTGAATAAATTATGATAATTATCTAAATAAATTATAATTATATAATTTCAATATCTTACTATAATTATTTAAACATATTACAATTACGTAATTACAGTTAATTATATATAAATTCAGTTATACGCTGATAACTTTTGGAAGATGCTAAATGTTCGAAATAATTAGGCAAGCAAAAGATGTAACACAATTAGAAGGAATATAATTAAATCCCAAATGAATGGAGCTAAGCATTTTCAAATGATGAACCATCATTTCAAAAATCAAACCATCCTTTTCTAATGTTGGAGCGTCAAAGAAGGGTGAAGTACAAAAGTGGTCACTTGACTACAAAATATTGATTTATTGATACTTTAGACTATTAAAATTATAAAGCAATCCTTTAATTATAGGATGTTGTTCTGTTGAGTCACTCGTCTATTAAAAATTATAAAATGATCACCTGACTACTTATATATTTTAAACTCACATATTTTGTTAAAAAATTAGTAACTGTTTGAGCTGTACGTCAATAGGTTAACATTAAAAAATACAATTCAAATTGTTCTAAGATCATATTTTATTATATCTTAGTCAACATGTTAACATTTAGTTCAGATGACCACCAATTTTTTAACGAAAAAGAATGAGATTGAAACATATGAATAGTTGAGTGATCTTTTTTGTAACTTTTAATAGTCGATGAACTCGTCCTATAATTAGAAGATCAATTTATAACTTTTAATAGTCAATATACTTAATAAAACAACACTTTATAGCAGATAGATCATTTGTATATTTTTTAAAAAAATACCATTATTAAAGTAATTATTAAATGAAACAGTGGCACTTTCACTGTTTAAATCCAGACCAAGGGCTTTTTGAAAACAAATACTAATTTCTACCGAGAGAGCGAGGAAAGAGGAGGAAGGCCGTCTCTCAGAGTCACATGCAGTAGACCCGTGCTGCCGGCCTTGGTCGGATTTTCTTCGCTAAATGCTCTTAAAACTACACCGTTTTGGATTGTTTCTTTCCCTTTATATATAAATCACCATTTCACTGGTGAGGTCTCAACGCAAGTCTCACTGTCCGCTGATCGCTTCGCCTCTCTCTTCCCTCTTTGGTATTCTCTCTCTCCCTCTAGTTTTTTTCTTAATTAATATTTTGAAATTTGTTTTGTAAAATTTAAATCTCGGCGAAAAATTAGCACATTATAGACGAGATCTTTCTATATATATAGTTTTATATTTTTAAATTTTTATGTTATGAAATATTCGACACCTAGATCTCTGTTTGCACTTGCTTTGATTTTTGTTTTTTTTGTTGTTGTGGAAATTTCATTATTTGTGCTAATTCTTGGTTTTTGATCTGTATAAATCAAAGGTAATTCAGACTTGCTTAGATTTGTTTGTTTTCGTTGATTATATCTTCAATGTGAGTGCAAATTTATATAAAATGTTTTAATTAAATTTTTTTTTTGTTTTTTTTTCTTCTTATGCTAAATTTGGTTGAGTTGAGGCTTTTAGATTCCTTAATTGGTCAGATTGTGGCATTGGTTTGGAGTTGTAGAGAGAAATAATTTGAAGTGTAGTAGGCAGTTGCCTGGCTCATTATTTCCTAATTTGCGATATGTGGGTTAAAATGTTGGTAGTTAGGCCATACTGTAGTCAATATAGGAAGAATATGTTAAAAGTAAGATGGAATTCGTAGAACGAACCGTGCAAGCATTAAAAATACGATTACTGCTTAAGAGTTTTAGATTGCTGGCTTAGAACTACTTTGCTTTACTGTGTCAATCTGAGAGGGAAAACAGAATTTTACTTTTTTCAGCTTTGTAGTTCTCTAAACCTACTGCCCAAGCAATTAAATATAATTTCATTGTTAGTTTGTACATCGCTGATCACTAACATTCCAAAATAAGTAATTGTTTGTCTATTCTCTGCCTTTCAGTTTCAGACTTTAATTTCTATAATGTCGGGGAATGCCTTGAGAGATCTCAACACTTTACCTGCGCCTGAGAGGAAGAATGAAAGCTCTAGTAAAGGGAATTTTAATAAGCCTTGCAATGGAAACACAATTGAAAATGTTGAAGAGCAGCCGAGGAAAAGCCTGGTATCTGTTCAAACAAATGGAGGTGAAACTGAAAATGTGCAGCTGAAGAAAATCCCTGCCTCTGTTCAAATAAATGGAGGTGAAACTGTAAATGTTGGAGTAGAGGTAGCTAATTCGGAAGTAGAATACATTGAATCTGAGAACTTGAGTGACGTAGAAGATGTTGATACATGTCTTAAGGTATAATATACTGGTATTTTACATTTAAGTTTCTGATATTTTGTTTACTGTTTGATGATATGCATATTTATCTATGCCAGAACCTCTTACCTGGACTTGACTCTAAAGACTGGATTCTGGTTGTTGAAGCACTCAATAGTGTTCGCCAATTATCAATATTCCACAAGGAAAGAATGCATAGTATACTGTAAGTCTCAAAATCTGACTTGGTTATCTGAAATACTAGAGAATGGGTTTTAATATAATTTTTCCATCAGTTATTGTTGCCTTAGATTTAATTTGACTGGTGTATTTGTTTCCTTGTTTCAATGTGCAGGAGTGATTTGATCCCCCTTGTTGTTAAGTCCATGAAAAATCCAAGAAGTGCTGTTTGTAAAACTGCAATTATGACATCTACTGATATTTTCAATGCGTATAATGATGATTTGATTGATTCTTTGGATGCACTGGTACTTTCATATTCTCTATGATTTATTGTCTTGTTAATCTGGTTGCTACTATGCATTTCTAGATGGTGCACTTCTATCTTTGTTGTTATTTTCTTTTGTGAATTTTTCTTCATCTGGGGAGACGGGTGAACAAATTCCGGTTTTCTGATGTGTTCAAATATGATTAATACAGCTTGTACAGCTTCTTCTTAAGTCTTCACAAGACAAAAGATTTGTATGTGAAGCAGCTGTGAGAGCTTTAGAAGCAATGACTACTTCAGTTTCTCCTATGTTGCTGTTGCCAAAGTTGCAACCCTATCTTAAGAACAGAAATCCACGAATTCGAGCAAAGGCATCAATGTTCTTTAGTCGTAGTGTTCCACGTCTGGTAAGCAAATGATATCCTCTATGCTTACTGATATTTTATTGGTATGGGAGGGAGTACATTTTCCTGGCTTAATCATTTTCAATTTAAGCTGTTGATTTGGATTGCACCCCTGTTTATGTTATTTGCAGCGACATAAGGCATTTAAACTTCTATTAACTAAGTTCATATAAAGTAGGCGGTTTTTAGCTCTGTGTGGATATTTGTGGTATATATAGGATTTGATAGATGTCCTATTGTGTAGTTTTCTTTTTCTTGGCTGACAGACTTTTTTTTTTTTTGTCTTTTTGGAAGTATTTTCTCACTTTTCTGTTAAGTTTGATGGATTCATTTGATTTTATCAGGGTGTTGAAGGAATCAAAGAATATGGAATTGACAAATTGGTACAAGTAGCTGCATCCCAACTGAGCGACCAGCTTCCGGAGTCTCGTGAAGCTGCTCGAAGCCTTCTTTTGGAGCTGCAAAATGTATACGAGAAATCCCGCAATCTTTCAACAGTATCAGAGCATCCAGAGATGGGCTCTTGGGAGAACTTTTGTCTGTCAAAGCTGTCTCCTTTAAGTGCACTAGCAGTGCTTCGTGTGACAACAAACCTTACTCGGGAAGGTCTCGTTATCGGTTCCTAATGGTGAGTTCCATATGTGAGTTTGTAGCAAGTAATGTCTATTCTTAATTTTTACCCACATATATGAGCTTTAGAGAGCAGAGTCTACGGTCATCTCTTATGTCTTGGTTTTGGTTTTATCCCTTATTTTTATTCCTTGTAAATTCTCTTGAATCATTAAGTTGTCTTTCCATCTTGGTTAAGAAATTAGTCACGAATGATATTCTTTGCATATGGCTCTCTTAAGCCGTCTTCATGGGTTTGGGTTCCTAAAATAGTATATAAATTTGCTTAATCTCATAGCAGAATGTTCCATCCGTTGTGGTACATAATACTATATCTATACAATATATGTCGTGATGACTTGTAATTGTTATTGCGTACTATATCACCGGTATCCGATCTATTAATTGAGTATTCTAGATTTTTTTTTAATTTAGATTAAAATGGTACTTTTGAATACCAAATATTTTTTTATGCTGCTAGTTAACCTTTAGCATCAAGTCTTAGCACTCGCATCCGGTAATCCATACTTTAATATTATATTATGTAAAAGAAGTTTCTCAATCAGTTAGATAAATTGTCCATAAATGAATAAAATGGTCCCCAGTTGGGTACCCGACGAATTCGTAAATGGGGGATTAATTCTTCGCATCGATCTTATTTGTTATTTTTTGTATGCTATTATTATTACTGTTATTTTATTAACATATTTTTAGATTTCAGTTTTGGACGTTATAGGGGTGCTTCAACCTTTATCACGCATAACCGATTTTTAACTCGATTTTGATCTTTGTGTTTGGCTTAGATTAGTATTTATAGGCATTCGATAGTACCTAATACAAAATAGCCGATAATAACCTTAACCACACGATGAGCTCTTCAAGGGCTCAACCCATTTGAACCTCCGAAAGATGACTTTGAGAAGGGTACCCTTTTATATTCAATGGAATACAATCATTAAATACCCTTGAATTATGTAAATAGGGTTTACTTTTAACTCCTTTTTATAATTATAGCGTTTAAAGTTCAAGAGTTAAGTATTTGATTATTATACTTTTTTTTGGCACTTAAATTCTATAAGTGGAAGATGTAGACAGATTTGGTAAAATTGTTTTTATATAAAGTAGTCTAACTATTTTATTAATGTTTGTTTAAAATTGTACTATCTAAACATTTTGAATATGGTTTACAGAGAAATCAGGTTCATCTGGTTTAAACAACTTGGGCATCTTTAAACCGCCAGATGAAGGATCAATAAAAGTAACTTTAGACACTTTTTTAGCAAGTTTAGTATTTTTAGCAAACCTTTGTGCCAATATGGTTGCCCCAAGTTGTTGATGATTTTGTGAATTATCCATATATGATGTTGATGTCTCTCCAGTTCCATCATTACCTTCATGATCAAGTAACTCTTCTTCCACGCGATTCATCTTGTAATAGTTACCATCTTCACCTATTGTCCTCCCATAGAAACTCATCTCCCTTGCCATCAACTCTTTCGTCGTTTTTCTCTTCTTGAACCTTCTCCATGCGGCTTGTATGAAACATGCGCTCCACGTCCGCCATTGATGAGAATAGTATCTGAAAGCATGTTGGAGCTTCTTGCTTTGTAGTCTTTTGAATTGATGTGCGAAGAATTGGAGGTCGTCCGCTTGGAGTGCGAAGGCTTCAACTTCAGATATGGCTCGTACCGTACGAGTTGAGAGGGGGAGGTTGAGGGTGGAGTTGGGCATTAGAGCCCATGTTAGAAGCTCTTCACCACAGAAATCGCCTGGTCGGAGTGTGATGGAGTTGAAGAAACCGGTTCTTCCTCCGCCGGTGGTGGAGCTCTCGAGTTGGCCTCGAATGATGAAGAGCATCTCGTTCACCGGCTCGCCTTCCCGGACGATGTAATTGCCTTCGGTACTCAATGACGAGACTAGACGCTCACACATGGCGTCGAGAAGTTGGTCATCCATTTGTGAGAAGAAAGGAACCTAGACAATGAAATTAAAACAACAGAAAAAAAACTAGTAATTCCATATAGCTGGAAACCAAAGAAAACAAGGGTGGGGAAGAAGATAAACGTACACGGCGAACAAGGGAGAGACACAAATGGCGTTGAATTTCGCGGCGGAGATCCAAAGGCAATGACTGTAATATGAACTCCTCATCCACTCCTCTTGTTGCAAGCCATTTGTATTGGACAAATCGTCGAACACGTTGCTGTAAATCTTCAGGTAACTGACGATGCCTCATCCACTCCTCTGTATCCCTTCTTTTAAGCCTCCACTCCTCAATTCTTACCGTCATTGATTGCAACGAAGTCTTCAAAACAACAAAAAAAATGCTCATTACTTCACCATCATCAATGCCCAAACTTTTCATTTGTTTTCTATAGTAAAAAATACCTGCATGTTGCCAATCAAGAGTGCAAACAGAACCAACCCAAATAAGCATATGGAAATGGCAAAAATATTCTCCCAAATATATATGCCTGTCACCAAATTCTGCCCATATGAACTGCAAATTAAAGATTGAACAATGAATCGATCAGATAACCCTATCCTTTGAAAAATCTTTATACAAACCCAGCAGAATACCTTAGATTTCTGAGACCCCACCAAAAACAATACAAATACTTGTCAACGAAATTCTTGGAGGCAACATCATTGTTGAAAGCAGGCGCAAACATCCCGAATTTGAAATCAACGGCTTCGTTGGTAACGTCACAGTTGGTGAGGACGCTGGTGACATTCACCCAATATTCCCTCTCTGGTGTTCTCAAGCTATTACAATCTAGGAATGCTGGGATGCAAGCAACTGTTCTCGACAGGTTCTCTCTCTGGCATTCATGTTCCCAACACGAAAAATGCCTCGCTATCGAGCACAAATACCATATCGCTCCCAATACCTACACCCCCACTTATCGGTCAGAATACCACGTTTGGCTTTGAAATCGTTAGTTGACTAACGGTTAACACATATTGTTCACATGTTATTAATGTTAACATGGTATGTGACATGTCATTAAAAGTGATGATATGGTATGTGCCATATCACTTAAAGTGATGAGTATCATATACCATGTCACCTAAAGGGATTGTAGGGCATGTATCACGCGTCAGCTTTGTCATTATGCCAATAAAATAAATAGCAAAGAAGGGGGTAGGATTTGTTACATGGCTGGCGAGGAGATAGAGAAGGAGATTGTATGCAGCACCAGCCCAAGCAGTTTTGGCAAGAATGCCATTGGTTTTGATGATCTTGTTGTTAAGAGGGAAGATAATGAACAACCTTGGAACATATTGAAGGAGAACAATAAGAGCAATGCTGTTGTTTGCGTGATCTGCTGTTGAGTTTCTCGTGGTCGGAATCAATACCCATATCACAAACTGTATGTACAAATGTATGTCACAAAAACCAACAAATTACAATTTGATTTTAAAAACCCTAAACAATAACCAACCTGAGGTAGTGGTAAGGTAGCTGCAAGATCAATGATAAAATCCTTCTTCAAGTACCGCAGTGCAATCTCCCTCGTATCCATAACAAGTTCACCCTTTCCGAAAACCCTAGAACTCGGGGCGATGAAACCGGTCCTGAACTTCATAAGCATGTTCATAAGGTATAAAAGATCCGCCATAGACCTTAAAACCGTAATGAATACTCCCATACCGGCGTCCGAGGCCAAGCATGCCGGGCCTCCGACGTAGGGGAGGAAGAAGTATAGAGGGTCTATGAACAATGCCATGATGCAAATGATCAAGAACACATGGTTCCAAGAGGAAACGATGTCGCTGGTGGGGTCGAACACAAGGGAGGAGTCGGTAGGAGCATTGACTTTTGATGGGGGTGGACGTGAACCGGTAGTGGTGGTGGTAGTGGAGGCGGGGGCGGAAGGTAAGTAGCTGAACGAAGGGAGTATGCTATTCATCTTCCATTGAGGATTCCGACGCCACACCGATTCCGCTGCGAAAAAGGAAGGATTGAATGAAAAGGAAAAAGAAAACAATCAACTTAAAATAATATCAAATAAGTTGACAAGAAAGGTTTGAAACAAAATAAAGGAAAACGAAAAAATCGGTGGCGGCGTTACAAGGTGAGGTGAGAGGTGGTGCAAGAGAAACTGGTAAATGGACGACATGAGAGATTTACGCCAAACCATTTGAACTGTATGGCTGAGGATAAATTATTACTTCATGTTAAACTAATTCTATTAAAATTGAGTTTAGTTATCAGACTTCTTCGTTATATCGAGAGATTTAAGTGGTAAAATAAAATATTATTTTCTTTAGAGATCTTTGATTTAACTGCGTCTGTAGGATGTGTGTGCGTTGTTAATAGGTTAAATTTTTTTTGAACAAATATTAACTTCTAATCACCCTACTATTAAAAAATATTCTGTTATAATAATATAGGTGGACTGATATAAATAACATATTATATCATTATCATTAAAATTTTAAAGATTGGGCCAAAATTTTCATCTAAAATATACTCATTTGATTAAATTTTAAATATTAAAAGATAAATTAATAAAAAAATAAATTAAAGCTAAAGCAGGGACAAAATTTTGATGAAACATTAGAGACGACAATAAATTTTAAAACATAGACTATGGTCAAAATTTTAAGTCAATTTAAATTAAAAAATTGAATTAGGTATAATTTGTCTAATTTTACATCTAATACATACCTCAGAAGCATTTAAATAAGAAAAATTATGGCTGAAGCATTTAAATTCAACATTTTTATCTAAATTTAAATTAAATATAAATTAAATGTTATTTCTTGAAGATAATCACATAAGTATCTCTTAATCAAAACACCATTTGTATATTTTACCCATTTTTATGATGGTAGAACTTTAACTCTCAAATTCAAATTTATTTACTTTATCACATTAAATTCTACGTTTTATTTAAATTTAAATTAAATAAAAATTAAATATTATTTCTTAAAGATAATTTAATAAGTCTTTCATATATTTATTATTTACAGACATAGTTAATTAGATCAATAGTCAAACTTGGAATTTCAAAATCACGCTTTACTAATAACAATTCATTGTAAAAAAAAAACATTCCAATTATCATGGAACTTATTTGGTGAAGAAATTAGTTGTCTATTGCGAGTTTATTCATATTTTAACAAATTTTAAATTTATTAGTTGCTAAGAGAAAAAAATTATTCTACAGTGTATTAATTTTAGATACGTTCACTAGTATCTAAGCGGTTAATTTTTTTATTACTATTTTCTCACATTTCAAAATTCTCTACTTATTTACATTAGCGAAAATTGCCAGTAATGCAACTAGTCGAAGAGGATTTGGGATGAGCTATCCACAATTAATGAGTGTTTTGAATGGGTAGTTATCATTAAACAAATTTATCCATCTATTACTCCTATAAAAGGGAGTCCATTTCTATAATTTGTACAGATAATTGATGGTTCCACCCTTTCCCTCTCGGAAAAAAATTTGTCAAAGAGTGCAACACAAATTTATTCTAATTCCTCATGTACAAAGTTTAAAATGTTGTGTTAACCTTAGGGACAACGTCCATAATAAGGATTATACTAATCCAAGTGATTTTTATCACTAGGTCCACGATACAATAATTGTATTGCTTTATTTATTTATTATTATATGATAGTCAATGTTAACTTTATTACCTCTTTAACTCAAAGTGAGATTAATTGAAGTTTTGCAATTTTTTCTCCTATCGGCACCCACAAGGAACACTTGTTTCTTTTGAGAAGCATTGGATTTTGTCCGATACTAAAATAAGGTATTATACTTGTTGGGTCATTTCATAGGCCCATGTTTCCTATCGATTACCTCCATATCATATTGTTTCTTTTGCGTATGTACTTTCCTTTTTTCTTTTTGCAATCAACATATGGACTTTTTATATGCTCATTGTTAAGCACTACTCTTGCTACATTGAATTTGGACCCTCTTGAGATGTACTCCCAAAACTTTGGGAAATTTATTTCCTAAAACGAGATTATATATGATTCCAATAAGGTATATGAATATATTAAAATTTGTTGTTTAGTTCCTCCATAAATGTATTGTAAATTCTTTTAATTTTTCATACATTATTACTATTAGATGAGTAAAAATCAAACGATTGAGATTAATAATAGTAAACGAGAAGATATTCACTGAAAAAATAAAGAGTTAATCTAACCCTTCTATTTTTACTCACAAAACAATCCTAAATTTGTGTAAAATTAAAAAAAAAATTACATTGTGTAGGTGAATCCTCGTAAATTTTACACTTACTTAAAATCATTGAATGAGTGAAAATTAATAATTTAAATTACCTACATCTTTTTTCTTCTCATAAAAATATTTTCATTTTAAACTTTTAATCTCAGTAATCGATTCACGCTCATTCAATGGTCTTAAATCATTGAAAAACTTATTGAATTTTACACTATATAATTGGATCCTTCTCAAATATGAATATGATAAATTATAAATTTAGAAAATGAACTTTATCTATCTAACGGTTAATGCCTTGTTCATATTGGTTTTACTGCTGCAACAAAAGTTGGGTTACTTGGGAGGCTTGAATCTGTGTATGTAGGCTTTAGAGCTCGTTATGAAGTTGTGAACTTGCATGGCATTTTGATTGTGGGAGTATACAAAATGTTGGTATTTTTGTTGGGATATTGTACTATTGTTGATCAGATGGTAAGCCTAGTCAGTGTGGATCCAAAAATACTTTTGAAGGTGAATACTCATACGTTAACAAATAAATTTTTTGAATGGTCTAGACACAAATTAAATTTTAGGGTGGGCACCCTGAGGATTGTTTAGTATACCAACTATCAATTTTGTTTTGTTTTGATCATTTAACTATTTTTTTCTTTAAAATTATACTTAACGTTACATTTTGATTTCATTTTAGTCACTTTCCATTAAAAAACTAACATAACTGTTAATGTAGCATTTTTTTAATAAAAATTCCAGTGATAACATAGCATCACCTTATAGTGGCACATCAGTATTACCGTTAATTTTTTAACAATAAATGATCAAAATGAAATAAAATGATAATTAGAATACTAAACGTGTAGTTTATCCTAAAATTATTTAGTAAAATAATTCATTTGTACCGCTAGAAAAGGCCAATTTACTGAGATTTTGTACCTTTGAATCAGTTATGGATCTAAAAATATCTTTTAGAGTGGACACATACATGTTAATAATACAAAATTTTTGAATGGAGTAGACACATAAAATTGCATGGTGGGCACCATCTACAAAAAAAAAATTAATCAAATAAAATTCATATAAAATTTCAAAATAAACATAATTAATAAAATATATAACGAATAAAGACAATTTGAATTTCAGGATACGTAGCCACCTTCTTCGAGTATCCGCCACTGCTTTGAATGACATTTTCTTTTGGCTTTTACGAAACGCCACTAAATTACGTTTTGTTTTCTTTGGGGACAACCTTTAAAAATTATAAAACAGAAAATATCATAATATCCTTAAAATTTTAGAAATTGTGAGTTTCATTTAAAAATATTATATTTTTTAAACAAGTACATTTAAATATTAACATTTTAAAAAAATCTGGATATTTTAATTTTTAAATTATTATTTTAATATATAATTTAAAAAATAAAAATTTCTTAAATATCTTTATACTAAAGATATATTATTTTAAAAAATGATTTAAAGTGGAGAGATTAAACGAAAAGCTTAATAAACTTCAAGTTTCATTTTATATTTTCTCATTTATAGTTTTAGAAGTCCTTGTCCAAAATGAAAAAAAAAACACTTTAGGAATGAATAAAACTTCATTTGATTTAAAAAAAAATCATTTTTTCTTCAAATTATGAGTTAATCAATTGAATAATTTGAGTTATTCAAGTTTTTAGACAAACTCAAATAAAGTAATTTATTTTTGAGTTTAAGTCAAGTTAGATTTTTATAACTCTAATAAACCTAAATGGTTGATATTTAAATTAACAAATTAATCTCTCCAGAAAATAAAAAAAATGAATTAATCTTCAAACCTAAATTTTATTTATTTATTTTTATAAAAATATAAAAAAAGTATAATAAGTTTTATTTTTTCTAAAATGATAAACTCAATGTATTAAATAATTAAATTATCAAATCTAGTTTATAATAATAAAGTATCACATTTTCCCCTTATTATGTTTTGAAAAAGCTTTTTAAATGGCTTAATATAACATTTGGTACTTATTAGAATTATAATTGATTTTGATACCGAAAACAATTTTAAAATCCGATATTTGTAAAAGAATATTGCAACTTGAGCTCAAGTACTAAAATTTATTCAAAGGCTTTTTAAAACTATTTTTCTAAAAGAAAAGCTGTCGAAATACTCTTAAGTGTTTGAATCAAACTATTCTCTTAAAAATATTTTTCCAGAGTAAATACACACTTTTTGCACGAACCAACTTACCTCAGTGGTTGAAGGAATCGTTATTATTCCTAGAGATCATGGGTTCAAGCACCAGCGACTGAAAGGGTGATTAAGTGTTCATTGTTAAACGGTTGAGAATACTTAGAACAAATACTACTTTGTAATCACCTTTAGCTTAATAAAAAAAACACTTTTCAGTAAAAAAAATTAAGCCTAATTTCGATATTGGCTCAAGCGTTTCAAAACCTTTCATAGTTTATAAAATGAGTTTCAAAACTCAAACATTCGGTTTTGAAACCAACTAGTGAGTTTCGAAACTCACCTCACAATTTTGATACCAACTAGGGGTGTAAACGAGTAGAGTCGCTCGAGTATTGTTGAGCTCGACTCGAAAATTCTGAAATAGAGCTTGACTCGACTCGAAAACTCGAGAGTTTAAAATTTTTAAGCTCGAATCGAACTCGAAATCCTGAACTGAAGCTCGTGAGCAGCTCGAAAAGGTTCGAAATGAAAAACAATTCTTAAACTTAACTCGATTGAACCCTCAAACTCAAATATGAAC